TATATCATCTAGTTCTAACTGGGGCATTAGAAAATCAGACTGATTTCATAATTACAATGTTTTAAATAGGGACTACTACTAGAGTATATATATATTATCAAGTATTGTGAAGAAGATGAGATTTATTTCACAGAAAGTGGCCATCACTCTTTTCTTAGCACTGATATTGAGCTATAATTATAGATAACAAAGATTAGCAACTAGAAGAAAACTCTAGTTGGAATTCCATGTTGGAAGATGCTAAGGATTGGCACAGAAATTTTGCTCTTGTATTTTGCTTTGTGCTACTGGCTGTGTGATAGTCCTGGAGTGTGCTATTCTAGGTGAGCCTCTACCTCTTGACTTCTATAGTCTGTGCATGTGCTGGGCACATTTACTATAAATTTCAGACCTATTCTAGCTTTCTCTTTAGCTGCCTGCTTCATGTGTTTCTCTATATTATAGGACTTGGAAAGTCTTCTATGGCTCTTATGAGCAGGACAACCAATGTTTGAGAAAGACATAGCATCAGATTTTTTTTTTTTCCATTTATGTATTTGGTACAGGGTCTCACTATGCAGTTCAGACTTGTAGTGATCCTCCTGTTTTCAGCATCCCCAGAGCTGGGATTACAGGTGTGCACTGCCACGCTCAGACTCGGTTGCTGGCTCAGCATGCACCAGGGGTGGGGCTGGTGCGGCATGTGGGACTGGGGATCAAACCCTGGTCCCTGGGCTTGCCTAAGCAGGCACTTAGTCTGCTGAGCTGTCTCACCAGCCCTATAGCATCAGCTCTAGAATGTGCCACTACTTCGAATGGGCTGGCAATATTCATTTTTCAGATTTCAAGTCACTCTTCCTGATGACAGGGTACAAGACTTTAGATTAGCCACATATGGTAGCAGGGCACAGTAGAAAGAAAATGGACTTTGGAATCCTATAGACTTTGTGATAATTCTTGACTTTATCATTTGCTACATGATCCTGGTTATGCTGCTTAATTAACTTCTCCAAAACTCACTTAAATTGTCTCAACAATGATAATATTATACTTGTGTTAGACTTGTTGAAAAAATAGAGATGATACTAATAATCAACTAGAAAACTGCTTAGCATATGGTAGTTTCTTGGTCATGAAGATAACATTGCACAGAATTTGAGAGTAAAAAGCCCAACTCTCATCATTTAATTAGAATAAAGAAACTATCTGGAAGTTCCAAATGTGGGTCCCAAGCCAAGTTAAGGCATCTTTGAAAGTATATCATTTAGGAGCTGGGGTGATGTTTAGAGGCAGCACATGTGCTGAGTGTATGAGAGGCCTTGGGTTCAATTCCTAACACATGTGGAAAAAGTAGAATTGTATGTCTTCATTCAGGTTCTTTGATATTTGTCCTTTCAGCAATACATATGACTTATATTACAGATTAAGGCTACACAAATGTGAATCATGCCTCTAGCCATTTATAATGCCAAAGATTTTAATAACTTTTCCACTTACTTTCTGATAACAGATTTCTAGCAATGGCAGTAAATTATTTCCGAATTGTCTTTTTTATAGTAGAAGATATAATTCTACTGTTTAATATCTTTATGTAGGTCTATATAACTATACTCAGATTTGTGTTTGTATCCAGGAAAGAAGACATGTTTAAAAAGAACGTATGATTTATGGGCTTCTTAATCCATTTTAATTCTCTTCTCTAGAATTTAAGTTGTTTTCTTCATGCCATGTAATAAGTCATTTTTATACTTTTGGGGTTGTTGTTTTCTCTTCAGCACATAGAGGTTGAAATGATGAAAAACCCAGATCATGTTAATTTAATATGAGATTAAATTTGTATTAAGAGAAATTAAAACAACTGAAGTTTTGAGAGATTACAGAATTGGTTGAGTTTCCCCCGCCCCACTTATCCTGATCATCTGAACTTTGATTTTTCTTTGTTGCTCCTTACCTAGGTTACTTGTTGGTTTGAGAAAACGATCAGAGATTTGCAAGAGCAAAGTCTAGGTTCATCACTTTCAGACAATGAAGAACTGATTCATAAGCATGAGCAACTGATAATAAAAGCAAAGGTAAGAGACATTGTCCACATTAAAAATAATTCACACATGCATATATTGCTCTTGAATATGTTTGTCTGAGCAATTTAGAGGAAAACCATAAAACAAGCAAAAACCTATCTTTGGATTACCCACAATTTAAGAGAAAGCTACTGTTCTCAACCTGCTCGTGCCCCTGGCTCAGAGAATAATGATAGACAAGCCAGGGGCTTCTCCAACAGTGACTATATCTTTGTGACTAGTTACTGTGCACTAGCCACAGTACTAAGTATATTAGATTATTTTAAAGAGAATAAAAAAAAAAATAGTAGCTAAGACATTAGAAAGGATCCGCAATGTAAACAAAATAAGATGATAGGTCTTCAAGAGTAGTTGTTATGTTGCACATCGCTGTCTTCAACAGATGCATTATGTAAATTATCATAGAATTCCTAAGGGCTAGGGTGTGTGTGTGTGTGTGTGTGTGTGTGTGCGCGCGTGCTTTGTTTTATGGATGAAACCTAATAAAATAGATGCTTAGAGATTACATTAGTCATGTGGCAGTGGCAGTTTTGGCTAACCCAAGATTCAAATTCTTAAATATTATACTTTACTCACTCGCTATAAAAAGCATTTTACCTGTGCTGAGAACTCATGGTGTCTCCACTTTATGGTTTCTGTTTGAACAGTGTGATCGTGTGATTGCCGTGCCCACTTACCTTTCCTTAGCTCCTTCACTTGCTTAAGATTTCTCCCTTTTGCAAGGAACAGTGGCCGCCAGCCAGGCAAGCACTCGTAGGTGGACAGATGCGGGATGACAGAGCCCTGAAAGCCAGAGGAAATGGCAGCCGTGCCGCAGTCGCTCCTCTCTCTATTGTGTCTTGTTCATTGGAAATAAGGCTCATCTGTACCTGTGGGATCTGTTGGTACTTGCCAACGCCCTTCACATGTGCTTCATGTTGATCTACATGAGGCAAAAGTCCATCATAGCGGGCTAAGTGGGAACAGTGAATGCTAAAATCATCGCCTAGAGTTAGAAAACTCCATAGTAGTAATATGGTGGGTAGTTGGTGGCTGTAGGTAAAACCATGTCATGAACCTCTGGGGGGAAAACGGGCCAACACTGCTAGACAATGGCTGAAAATGGGAAGGTGGAGGTTGCTGGGTGGGGCAGAGGCAGTAGTTTGCATTTGTTCTTAAATCTTCTCACAGGGGTCTTGACCCTTTTTTATTTTGTGCTAGCTTCTTGGTTCTATTTGAACATGGGAATGTATCATAGATATTAAAAAGGTTTGGTTTAGGTATTTAACTGATTGCTAAGAGGTGTAAGACTGTTGACCTGGTAAAAACTTCTTGGTTCTTAAGTTTTTACAAATTTTTCAGAATTATTTTATTGGTTTAGGATGTTAATTTTTCATTTGATGTATGTGTTAATATTCTATTGTGAGTGTCCAATAGAGTGTTCATTCCTGAAGATATCTTAATTGCTTCAATATTTGGGCAATTTTTAATTAGGCTGTTTTAAACATGTGCAAGTTTTTGTTCAACCATAGATTTTTATTATTATTTTTTTTTGGGCAGTGGGTATCTTTTATTAATCCTAATAGCCACAGGTGATAATGCTAAATAAATAGGATCATGGGCTCAATTTCTTTGGACAATAGGAGTGCTTTGAGCCTCAAAAAAATTAGAAAAAAAAAGGACCAAATTTGGTCAGATGTTTAAGATTATAGAAGAAATAATTTTTAAATATTTAGAAATATAATTCAGAAAAAAATGCCTTTCTGGTCTATTTAACCTTGAGTAAAAAGAAGCCACCTGAAACTCCAAGTGAGAGGATCTTGACAGAGGAGAGGCCAGATTTGGACTCCTGAGCAGCTGTATCCCTGACAAATGAGGAGATAGCCAAAGTGCATCCACGCTAAACTTGTCTTTGTGCCTTCATGGCCCAGCCAGTAGCTCTCACAGGCTACCTTGGAGACGCTGCAGCACGGCCCTGCTAGAACTCAGGAAACAGTACTCCAAAGTACACAGCTCTGATTTGCTGAGAGCTCTGAACTCAAGGAAAACCAAGGTCTCTCTGACTCTCACCCATCTCTCTCTTGTCCCTCTTTTCCTCCTAAAGGACAGAAAGGGACTTTCCTGAACTTTTCCTGTCCACCTAAAGGTCATAGCCTCCAAAGGATGAACTTAGAGGAAAGTAGGACAATGCTATACCTTGAACTCAGGAGAACTTTAGCATAGGCTGTTGTCCATTCTTCAGGCCAACTCGCCCTCTCTGTATTTTTTTTTTTAGGGAAGGGTCTATAGAGTGTTCAGGGTCTCACTACTAGATCAGACTCATAGTGATCCATCTGTCTACAGCCTCCCAAGAGCTGCGGTTACAGGCGCACACCACCACGTCCAGTCTCAATTGCTGTCTCAGCACACCCTGGGGGCAGGGCTGGCATGCCATGACCAGGAATCGAACCCTGGCCCGTGCACCTGCTTGCAGGCTCTTTAATCCACTGAACTATTTGGCTGGCCCTAGCCATAAATTTTTAATTAATTGAGTAAAGACTAAGGAGTATAATTTCTGGATCATACAATGAGTATGTTTAGTTTTGTTAAAATTTCAAAGTATCCTCTAAAGTGGTTGTACAGTTTTATATTTCGGCTTGCAATGAATGAGATTTACTTCTGTTCCACACCTTGGCTAGCATGTGATCTTGTCAGTGCTCTGGATTTTGACCATTCTGCCATGCATGCAGTGGTATGGTATCGTTCTATATTCTTTGCCTAGATATTATCTTTGCTAATGCATGTTTTAAGGTCTTTGGCTTATTTTTTTAATGAAGCTTTTTCTTTTTGAGTAGAAATAACTTTCAAGTAAGTTTTTTAATCCCAGTGACTCATAGAAAGTTTTACAACTATAAAGAAAATGAACGTTAGTCCATCAGTAGAAACAGACTCATCATCAATGTTTACAAGTCATCTTTCGGTCATTCTACACTCAGCCTTAGAGACATATGCCGTGAGAATCATCCCTTTTTCCTCATTGAAAAGTTTATCATAAACACATTTCTTTTGACCTAGTACCTTTTAGCTGAAAATACTCCATTATGTGGTGAAATTCAAATTGTAAGATTAAACATTTTCTTTATAAGCTTTATGAATAGCCAAATGTTAATTGAAAAGGTATGAATTCTTTATTAACTCCTTTTTGTTCCAGAAAAGTCTTTTAAGGTTTGAACTACTTAGAATCTTACACAAAATCTGAATAGTGAGCCAAACACTCAAGTAGTTTTCAAGTCAAACTGTATTTACAGACTGAAGCAGAGTGTCCTATTTGCCTACAGCATTATTAGACATAAACTTATTTTTTTAAATAAGTATTAATTTTATTAATTGACAGTTTCTGTTTACTTCTTCATGTAAAGCATTCTTTCTTATGTAAACTTTTTCTTTCCTAATTATTGGTTGACCTATGGAATCCCCTATCTCAATATCATTTTTAGAAATTGCCACCATATCAAACAGCTGTTTATATTGGATCAACCAACTAGAGATAATCAAGCAGCCTATCGGTAAAGGGGCTTTTAAGACATTTGCCATTGACCTGGATACTAGGTAATCCAGTGACAAGATACAGATTATACAAGGCAACAGTGTCACTGAGCCCCGTGGTTGGTGACAGCCCAGTCAGTAAGCACACATGAGAGAGTAGCACTGTTCTGAAGGGACCATAGTTTGCTTTCCCGAAGGATGAGCTATGAGTAGTTGGTTAGATAAGGTTTTTTTTGCAGAATAAGGCAGACAGCTGGCAGCCTGGTTTGTCCATGGCAAAAGCGAAAGACTGAGTGTTGCCTCTGAGGCATGATATACCCACAGCCACTCCACTGGAAGGAACAAGAAGAATTCGGAGTCATCACAGGTTGGGATATAGGAGAGATTCCTGTGGTGGGGAGAGTTGGGCCTGGAAGCCTTCAAAACTGTCCTTCACTGGGACAGGAGTAGTAGGTTTTGACTATTTATTTATTTAATTTTATGGAAGGGTCTACAGGGTGTTCAGGGTCTCACTACTAGGTCAGACTTGTAGTAATCCACCTGTTTACAGCCTCCCAAGAGCTGGGATTACAGGCGTACGTCACCACGCCCAGTCTTGGACAGGAGTACTAGGGAAGGAAAAGGTAACAATGGGAAGTAGGAGGAAGAGGGGATAAGAAGGGTGTAAAATCAAAGTATGATATGCATATGTATGCAAGTGTCATAATGAGACCCACCGTTTTGTACAATTAATATGAACTAATAGTTATAATAAAAATTTTAACTTTCAGATCCCATAAAGGAGATAGGATCATGTTGCAGTATGCTTAGTTTATTTAAAGCTGCGTGAGTATAATAAATACTTCCAGAGCTGACCTCAAGAAGTAGAGTTGGGCTGGCAAAAATAGCGCCCCCTCTTTAAAGTGGAGGTGCTATCTTACTCATTTTGGGATTCCGAGTACCTAGGACAGTGCCTGGAATAAAAACTGCATTTGATTAATGTCCGTTGATTAAGTATTTTTCTCAGTGAGGAAGTAAGAAACATTGTTTCCTTTTCTCTGTGATGCTCTGGTGACATCAGATAATGACTTAGCTTTCTTTTATCTGTCCATTATCTTTAAAAAAATTTTTTTGCCTGGAGAGTGGAGTTACACAAACTGCTTAATTCATCATAAATCTCGGGCTTGAACTCTGTATTGGTTTATTTTATTATTTTTGACATCATTTTCTACCTGTTTATATTTCCTACCTCATTGATATCCCATTCAATGGGCTTAATGTATTCTTAGATATTCTGTATCTCGACTTCTAAAGCATGTAGAGTTACGTCTTCACTTTGCATCAGTGGCCTGAAGTCAGAGATTTTGCTGTGTTTCTTCCCACAGCTCTGTTGACATCTACTTTGAATATTTTTGTGTTCATCATCATAGTAATTTGTACTTGCAGCGCAACTCTGGAAAGTCCTGTTACATGGGTACACTTTTCTGCTTCTAGCCCTCACAGCTCTT